CGCTCACCTCCGCTCGGACTCCATCTCTGCCCGCCCCGCCCGATCTAAGCCCCCCTTTCCGGGCGTCTGCTTCGTGCCTGGCACCGGCTGGGCGCCTCGCGACCGTTGTGGTTTGGCTCCCTCCTTTCAGCTTTCCGGTGCGTATTACCAGCCCCTTACAGGCGGGCGCAGGGGCCAGGTGTCTTGGCCGAGGTCTTTGCTTAGTTTAGCATTTTGCCGATTAATAATCGCTTTTGTCTAGTCTACAGCATCTTCATTTTAGAGAGAAAAAGCGCGCCTCTTTTTTGCAGTCTGTCCTTGCCTGTGTGCCTCCCCATGTGATTGATACCTTATGTGAGGGTTTCCCAAGATTTGCCTCCACTTGCAGGTGCGGAGCCTGGAATCGAGGCCTGTGCGCTGGGCCGGGCTGAAAGGTTTCTTGGGTCACCTGTCCAGCTTGTCTCACGTCGCTCCAGGCACCTGCTCTTAGGCCCTGAGGGTGACAGGCAGAATTCAAGGTTAGGTCCCCAGTGGTTTGGCCATATCGCTTCTTTTCAATAGAAAGGTTCTTGTACTTAGCAAGTAGGTTATTTTACCTTTTCAAACCTGAGATTTGACGTTTAAAACTCAGACTTATAATTGTGTTTTTATTTTTACAATTTCAGAGATGTCTTGTAGAAGCCCCAAAGATTTAATTAAAAGTAAATGGCGGTCAAAGTCTAGTAACTCCAAATCAGAAACTACATTAGAAAATTTTAGGGGGAAAACTGCAGCCTTACAAACATCAGTGGATGAAATCACAGGCGGAAGAGCAAAGCTGACTGATAAAGAAAGACACAGACTTTTGGAGGTAAATGGCCTTAAAAACCCTTTCAATTGTAGTAAGCTTTATGGGAGGAAATGAGACACTGTTTTCCCAATAATGATATAATCTAGCTTTTCTGTTAGTTTACTAAATGTAAAAAATCATGTCTAACTTCAAAGTAATAGAGTTCGGATATTAGTATGAGTATTTAGAAACCTATTTTATTGTGTATATTGGCTGCTTTTTAAGTAATCTTTGTTTTCAGGTTCTTTTGAGATCATAGCATTACGTACATTGGCATTTTGCATCTTTTAAACTATATTTCAGGTTCCCTAATTTTCAGTTTGTTGTGGCATAGTCAGTAAAGCAGTTGGGAATTTATTAAAAATGGAAAGATTTTAAAATGTAATCATTAATTTGATTTTAATTTATTTTGTAATAGTACTTGTTAAAGTTAGAAAATAACTGGTTGGGTTTATTTAAATTCTATTCTATAGGCACATCATAAAACCAAATGGTTTATTATTTTTAACAACACATATTGAGATAAATACTTATTCAAGCATTGAGAAGTGGTCTGTCACATGAAGATTATTTTCCAATCTGGTGAAAGAATCTGACAGCTTCCCTGAGATCTCTTTGTCATTCCACTTTTGACAAGCACTGGTGTCAAATCTCTGTTCCTTTATAATCAATTGAAACTAAACTTCCTGTAACTTCTACCCATTTGTTCTAATTGTGCCCATTAAAGCTACACAGAACAAGTCTGCTTTTAATCCAATTGACAGCTTTTCAGATATTTAAGAAAACCTTGCTTCCTCTTACTTTTCTGTAGACTAGCCCCATATTCTGCAGCTTTTCTGGCTTCTTATCACCCTGTCACTTTCCTGAACACGTGGTGGCATGTTCATTTTCCTTCTGAATCATGTACTCAGTGCTGTACACAGTGGCAAACACAGGTTGAAATGGTACGATTATTGCCACTGATCTGGATGCTGTACCCATGGAAACCTAAAATTGTATTGGCTTTTTTGTAACTAGCATACTACTACTGCCTTATCGTAAGCTTGTAGCTAACTAAAACCCTTCATCATTTTCACACAATCATTCAACTCAATTTTCCCCATTTTACATTTCCCCCTCTCCCCCCCCACCCCATGAAGTTTTTAGTTTTATGATGTTTTTAACCTTGTTAGCCTGTAAAGTCATTCTTTTAACTTTTTCAATTATCTCTATTGGTGCTTTCTCCCTTATGCCAGAGCAGTATAACATCCATGCCTTCTTTATCTTTTAAGTCCTTGAAAATGTTGTACATTCCTTTGATGATCACTTTATAGATTGGATACTAAATCATTTATTAACAAAAAGCAAGTCAATGAATGCATTTTTATCCAGGTGTAAACATTCTGTAATTTTTAGGTTCTGTTGCTTCAAGTCACGTTCATCAATCAGCATGGGTGACTAACTTTTAGCCTTGGATTGTTAGGACTCATATGATGGAGGGATGATGACCAGATCCTCATGTGAAAGCCAGTTTTTCTTTAGCTTTCTGTCGCCACGCTTGACAAAGTTGGTTTCTCCTTTCTGTATCCGTGTCTCGTCCACTTTATATGTATCTTAACTACAGCATTTACCATATTGCATTAATGTATTGATTTACCTCTCTGAGCATAAGACCTTGGCCCTGGTATCTAGTATAATGCTGACTTGATATGTAATAAATACTTCATAAATGTTTGTTGTAGTATATCATTCACTTTCAAGTTTGACCTGGCTTTGCTCTAAGATTCTTCTTAGTTTATATGTAGACAATTCAAGTTCTTGAAGCTGAGAGGGAGAAGAATGCTTATCATCTCACAGAGAAGGACAAAGAAATAGAGCGACTCAGAGGCCAGCTGAAAGCCACATATAGTACTACCGCACTGCTTGAGCAGCTAGAAGAGAAAACAAAGGAAGGCGAAAGGAAGGAACAGCTGTTGAGATCCTTGTCTGAAGAGATAGATGTATTGAAAAAACAGTTGTCTATTGCACCTGCAACCACTGAACTTGAAACCAAACCATTTCATGCATCACAGGTACTAATAATTTCTTTCAATTATAATTTCTTTCTTTCTGACACAATTGGTAATTCTTTATAAAGAATTAGTTCATGAAAACATGCTTGTCAAATGATGAAACAGTACAGTATAGGTTACATTTTTTTTTTTGTAGCCTGGAACCCTCTCTATAAATAGTTATAGTTTTTTTATGGCTTCCTCCGTGCCCCACACCATTGTTTTGCCCAAGGGAATATTCAGAATACAGAATCCACTGTGTAAGACAGCGAAGAACACTTTATTGAGCTCTTTTTCCTGTAGTATGTTTCATCACGATAGGCTTCATTTTTGTTATTTTTCATATTTGAGATATAAAGTTACATTATCAAGTATGCTTTTCTTAACTATGCTTGCTTTTCCTTCCCTTTTGTTGGTTTAGCAATTACACAGAAAGAGCAAGGATTGTAGGTAGGCAGATCTAAGTTCAGATCTTGGTTCTGCCACTGGCTAGCTATGACTGTGAACAAATTCCTCAACCTCTCTAGTCTTAGAGACAATGCTAGAATTCGAACCTCTCTCCCAAACCTCAATTTTCACATTAGTAAAATCAGGAAAGAATACTGGAGACTAAACGTAGTAATTACGTAAGTTGCATAGTGCCTGGCATATAGTAAGTGCTCAAGAAATGGTTTCTTACTGATCAGGGCTTTGATTCTTTTGGAAATTTGAACACCTGAATAATACTAATACTACAGCTATTAATACCACCTGTAGAAGAAAATCTGTAGCTTTCAGATATAATGTCTCCATGCTGTTAAGGTCTCTGTACTTGTCCACCCTTTAGAGTAGAGCCATCAGACCTATTCATTTATGTGTACTCTCATAATAGATGGGCAATTGAGTGTTTCTATAGATGAGTTCGAAGAGGTGAAGTTTTTCTAGAGAATTTCCACAGAGCTGAAACTCATGAAGCATTACAGTCAGATCCAAAGTGGGTGGTAAAACCGTTCCTTACGGTTAAGAATTCCTTTCTTACCCTAGCTAGTTTGGCTCAGTGGATGGAGCATCGGCCTGTGGACTGAAGGGTCCCAGGTTTGATTCTGGTCGAGGGCACATGCCTGGGTTGCAGGCTCCCTCCCGAGTAGGGGGCATGCAGGAGGTGGCCAATCAATGATTCTCTCATCATTGATGTTTCTATCTCTCTCTCCCTCTCCCTTCCTCTCTGAAATAAAAACATATTTTTAAAAAAAGAATTAGTTTCTCCACTTTTGAAGATGGAAATGCAAATTTTGGTAGAAATGATCATTTAAAAAATGTATTCTTATCATTATGTGGGCTATCCACTATTAATTTCTGTATTATTCAGCATGTCTAATTGCTATAACAAACCACCTCCAAATTGTAGTTTTCTACAACAAATGTTTATTTTTCCCTCATGTCACAGTCTAGTGCAGGTTGGAATGGAGAAGTTTTACTCCACACAGTCATTCAGAGATCCAGGTTCCTTCTCCTTCCCCACCCTTCCTGTCCCTTATGGTGGAGTCTTCCCTCAAATTCCTTTTTTTAAAAAAATATATTTTATTGATTTTTTATAGAGAGGAAGGGAGAGGGTTAGAGAGTTAGAAACGTCGATCAGCTGCCTCCTGCACATCCCCTACTGCGGATGTGCCCACAACCCAGTACATGCCCTTGACCAGAATCGAACCTGGTACCCTTCAGTCTGCAGGCCGACGCTCTATCCACTGAGCCAAACCGGTTAGGGCGATCAAATCCCTTTTATAAAGTTATGAACTAGAGAGAATCTGTGGAGAATTGGGGAAGGGTTTGGGGCCAGGCCTCGTATCGGCATATATCACTGCTGCCTACATCCCATTGGACAGATTCAGTCTCGTGGCCGCACTAACCACAGGGAAGGCTGGGAAACTCATCTACAGTGTGCCCAGGGCCGAGGGAAAGGGGTCTGGTGACATATCCCTGTCATAGTTTCCACCTAAAGAACCAAACTGAGAGTGAGAAAGGGCTGCATATTATATTAGGGTCAGTGTCTAGAGCACCTTTGGTGAAAAAATATTTTTCAAGCTTCCCTGCCAGCATTCACACAAGTGAAGACTGGAATGCAGCTTTTTATGTTGGCTAGTCTGGGGACCTAACAACCTCTTTCCCCTCTTTTTTCCCTTTATGAGAAAATGAAGAAAAAAAGACAAGTTATGTTTTGAGTTCCATATAATCTATGTGAATTAATAATAATTGTTTCTAATATAAACGTAATTCTAGAAATCAACTTTTTTGTTTGACAATTTACTATTTTCCAGATTTCATTTAAATAGCCCAGTTTTATTTTGTCTCCTTTTGGTGAAACCACTGGGCTACTCATATGCACTAAGGGCTATTCCGGTGATCCTGGGGTCCAAAGGTCCTCAGAAGTCAATTAGATATGAAATCTCAAGGTTTCCAATGCGCTTAGGATATTGGCAGAAGGTCTGAAGTACCCTTCCCCCTGCATGAGGTATAAGGTCTGGATTTTGGGATCCCCCTGTGAAGTATAATGAGGAAGTTTCTATTACTACATTTATGATGTTAACTAATACTGGTTTATTTACAGACTGAGACTAAAATTCACTGCTGTACCTCACCAATGAATAATATTCATGAAATGGAAATACAGCTGAAAGATGTAAGCTCCTTTTCCTTTTGTTAAGTTGTGGCTAAAAGGGACTAACTCATTTATTCTTAAATTTCATGGAATTTGACAGCATTGATGCCGTGAAAAATCTGTTGAGGTGGAGAACTGAGTGGTTCTCCATCTCTCTAGGTTACTGCCTTTAAGTCTCTTTTCAGGTATTCAACAGGCCCAGTTCCTCTAATCATGGTCTTGTTAGGCTAGACAGTCCTAGAAATTACCCATCACTACCAAATACCTCAGCAGCAAATACCCCTTCTCTGCCTAAATCTAATTTGCCCAGCTATTTTGTTATTATAATGTAATTTAAAGTTTTCTTCTCTCTTTTTTTTATCCATGCAAGATGTACTCTAGTTTGAAATTCTTCCATTAGAACCAGGATTTGCTTTCATAGTTTGAAAAGGAAAATACATTCTTTGTATACTCATTACTTCTTTTCTTTAGAATTTGATACAAGGTTATTTTCAATATATGGTGAAGTCATATTATTTTAAGCTTATGTCTTAAATGGATTGGTAGGTTTCATTGGAAATTAAACAAATTGAGGACACAGGACTACTACTATTCACAGTGTATTTTTTTTCAAGGTTTAAGATTAGATATACAAAGTATGAAATTCTTGATTTAATTATTAGGCCACTAGGTAGGCATTTTGATTTTAGAAATATTACTGGTATGTCTACCCTGATATAAGTATGCTTTTAAGATTCCTGTTTTATTTCATCTAGCAAGTATACCTTGTAGTCTGTTTAATTTTCAAAAGAATAATTTAAATCTGTTGAGCGTCTGTATAGTGGGGTACTGTAGTACCCTTATCAAGGTAATTTACATAGAGGTAACTAAAATAAAGAAGAAACATAGTGTTTAACTATCAAAATAAGTTGTTGTTTTTTTTTGTCTCACATATTATCCCCAGCATCTAGAACAGTTGAAAGAATGACTGAATGGAATCTTGTGTGCATTTTACTAGTGTCTCCTTTAGCAAAATACTTGAACTTTAAAATGTTACATGCTTATATCCAATCTTTTTGTTTTGTTCTATCTCCCCAGATTATTTAAGGATTACATTGTACTTCTCTGCTCTGTTTACTTAGAAAGGCTTTTAGACAAATGGAGTAAAATTCAACCCACCTCACCTTCAGATGGTGATCTAGACTGAGCAATGCTTCTCAGACTCCAATGTGCATATGAATCTGGGGGACTGTCATGAAATGCAGATTCTCATTATCTTGGTCTGGGGTAGAGCCTGAGATTCTGGATTTCCAACTAGCTCCAGTTGCTACTCCTGCTGGTGGTTTGAGGGCCATCCTTTGAGAACCATTAATTTACCTTTGATAAGCAAGAGGAGTTTAGCTCTGGTTGTCACTTTGGAATCTGCAGATCTTACAGAGCAGGAGAAAAATTGTAGTTGGAGGATTTAGGGAGCAGGAGCAGGAATAGAGAAATCTCACTCCTCATAATCAACACACACTCAACATTATTCAGCTTTTGAGAGAGCTCAGCAGTTCTAGTCCTGTACCCCTCCTCAAAGCTCCTGCAAAACTTCTGTGGAAGTTTGCCTACCTACTTTAAGATGAGCGTTTGTTATGCTAAAAGAAGCCCTAAAAAACTATGTTTACCTTTCTTAAGGCCTAACTGTATCAATCCTCGGCTACCACATAGATCTAGCCGACATTTTGAAATAATTCCATGAAGTTCATGATGTGAACACTGATGATGTCAGCAACTTTCACACTAAATCAAACCAAAGAGCTAAAAGGCAGTTTCCATAGGCATTTCTTTTTTTTTTTTAATTTTGTTTTGCTCTTCATTTTTTTAAAAAATCTCATTTTAAAATATAGACTTTAGAGAAGATAAATAATTATTTTTAATTTTTTTATTGGGAAAAATTCAAATTCACAGCAAAGTGACAAGTATGAAAATGGTACATAAAACACCCCCTAACCCTTTACCAATTCTATCATTGTTAATATCTTATCCCATTTTGCGCTCTCTTTCAGTCCCCCCAGTAAATATATCCAGACTTTTTTGGATATGCAGCTTAACTGCCTGTATCTTTAAAGAATAGAAATTCTTACCTGAAAGATGCCCTGATATATAATCAAAAACTTCCAGTGTGTGTCTCAGGACTTACCCCATCTCACCCCTCTAGAGTGAGATGCCAGCTTGTGGAGGAAGGGAGCCCCTCCTTTTACAGTTCACCTGTAACAAATGAAGGGTGACTCAGAAAGATCTGAGCACTCTGGAAAACATATTCTAGTGTGTGTTTTACTTCAGTGAGGTTATACCATGCGACTTTTTTTTTTCAAGAACTCTGTGCCATCTCCTCTGGCAGCCCTGAAGGATAGGAAGTTATTCATCCTGGCTGCTACTTCAACCACTGATAACAACAAATTACAACAGGTCTGGGATGAATTGTGACACAAGGGGCACAGATTAAGAACTTGTAAGATTATAGAAATAGTTATGACAGCTTTATTACGAAGGGTTTGTGGATATAAGAAACATCCGAACTTGTAGAGAATTTTTGTATGAATTTATCTGAGCCAAACCGTTATGCCAGGAAGCCAGATCTCAAATCTTCGGTTGGCCAGAGACAGTTTTGCAGTTATTTTTATACATTTGGAACTAAGGAGGGAATTACTCTGTGAGTCATAAGAATTTTTATGTGCTGGAAAAGATTACATCACTTGGGTTCCCTTCCCATTTTAAGATTTTGCTTTTTAATATTATTATTACGCTTATCACTGATTTTTGTATCTTTTCACATTGAGGCTCTAGAGAAAAATCAGCAATGGCTTGTGTATGATCAGCAGCGAGAGGTCTACGTAAAAGGACTTTTAGCAAAGATCTATGAGTTGGAACAGAAATCGGAAACAGCTGCTCATTCACTCCCACAGCAGATAAAAAGGACTGAATCAGAAGGTACTGGTATAATATGTTTTTTTGGAATAGGCCTGCCAGCATTTTCCCAAAGGAGAGATTCCTCAAATTTAGATTTTTATAGATACGTGTTAGAGAGTAAAAAGCAAGTCTTATTAAAATGGTGTTCTGAAGAAATACCATTTTGGCCATTCTGTCTTATTTTCCATTGTTTTCTGATAAAAGGGCATAAGACACAGGGCAAAGGGGAAACCTGGCAGCTCCAAGGCACACTGTATTTTCTCCACTGTGCATGTCCTCCTCTCCTTTAAAGCCCTTCTCCAACCTCATTCCTCCCAGAGCCGGCCTTGTCACCAATTACCATATCAATCCCAGGAGAAAGAATACATTTTGCAGGTGATACTACAATCATTTGAATATCACCATAGAATTGAGATGAAGTTTCTTATGAATGATGCTTTTTGCCATGTGCTTTACAATTTCCCTAACATTGCTTTCAATTGAGTTTCACAAGAACCCTAAGAGGTGGGGCAGAAAGATCATTACTCATTTTACAGGTGACAAGCTAGGGACAGAAGAGAAACCCCATGCAAAGCACAGGCAAGGCTCATAATCTTGGAGCTCCATATTTGAAATTTTTTAAAATGAAGCTAATGCTAGAAAGAATATAAAAGGAATGTCTCGAGATAATTTAAAGCTGTTTATCCCTAAGGGGACAAAATTACTATACATGAAAGTAGGATTTTAGTTATTGGCTAAGTCTAATTTTTTTCTTTGGTAATATAGGTAGGGGTGTGTGTGTGTGTGTTATCAAAGTAATAATGGTTTGCTAAAATAATGTAATAGTACAGGAGGGTCCTGCTCCACCTTTCCCATCTCATCCTGTCTCTGTTTCCCCCTATCAGGGCAGCTACTGTTAACATTTCTGTTTTTTAATTTGGGTGATTATCTCACCTATAAATAATTAGCTTATGTCCCTATTTGTTGATTTATCTTCTTTAGACATTAGTGACTTTTCCTCTCCATAGAATAGTTATATTACTATTTTTTAGTTCTTCTAGTTATTAGTGTTGTCATTTCAAATAACATACCTGAACTTCTATTTTTGTCCTATCAATATCAGCCCTATCTCTTGACTCCTCATCTTGTAAGGTAAGGAAATAATGTGATCTTGTTTATAGAAACGGGTTTATCTTTATATTTTCAGGAATATTACATATTTCATAAAGTGAGTTATGCCCTGCTGTGTTTGTCATAGGTTATCTTCAAGAAGAAAAGCAAAAGCATGACTACCATCTCTTGGCAAAAGCAAAAAAAGATCTTGAGGCTGAACGACAAACCATAACTCAGTTGAATTTAGAACTTCATGAATTTCAAAGAAAATATGAAGAAACCCAAAAAGAAGTTCATGACTTAAATAAACTGTTGTGTTCACAAAGAAAGGCAGATGTACAACATCTGGAAGATGATAGGCATAAAACAGAAAAAATACAAAGGCTCGAGGAAGAGAATGATATTACGAGGAGAAAACTTGAAGAAGAGAAGAAGCGATCTGAAGAGCTCTTATCTCAGGTAAGCCTAACCAATAAGGTTGTCCATGATTCATAATTCAAGTTTCTCATACTTACTAAGTGCAGGGACTATTTTAGCCACTAGGGAACCAGGAAGGAACAAAAGTTCCTGTTCCCTTTGTGGGTATTCATATTTAGAATTGAAATAGACCATAAACAAATTAAAGAAAACAGGGAAATATGCCAAAGAGAAATTGGGGGCCAGTGGAGATAGTATTTGGACAAAGACCTGATGTCAAGAAGGAACCAGCATGGTGAGTGACTATGGGAATTCTCTGCAGCCAGAGGAACTCGTACATTTCAAAGGCTCTGAGAAAGGAGGAGGCGAGTATGGTGAGAAGCCAAAAGATGTCAAGAGGGGAATCAGGCTGATCCCAGGGCCTTAACCATGATACCGTGCTCAGGTTAATTCACGTGGCACGTTCCGTGTTCTCATTCTCTAGCTTTATGCCAGGATGTTGAAGGCGCTGAGTTTGGATTATTAGAACTGAATGCTACTTTGACAGAAACTCATTAAGCTAAATTTTGCTTAGCAAAGCACGGAATAATGGAAAGGACAGTATTTGGAGTTTATACCTGGTCTCTAGTCTAGGATGTGTGTGGCCTTAGGCAAATCATCTAGCATCTCTGACTTGCAGGTTAACCACATGTCAGATTAATACTTCTTGTATCATAGGGCTTTTGTGAGGGTCAATTGAGAGAATGTAAAAGAGTTTTGCTAGTGATTTCTACTATTAGAATAGTAACTTTAAAAATCCTCCAAAAGCTGACGGGGAGTGGATCATTTGTAACATTTGCCATCTTAGTCTTCACCATGCTTACTTCTGCCTACCAAGCAGTGTTATTTGTGAAAGGTTATACATAAATGATTGAGAATTTTGCTCCAACTATGTGGCCAAGGAGGTGAGGCACTGACAGCTGTTATCCTATTCAGAAATATTAGATTAGATGTCAGAACTTCCTGGAAAGTGGGTGTGGCCACTGCCGAGTTCTGTGCCTCAGGGAGCTCTTAGCCTGGGTGGCACTGCTCAGCTGCTGGCATGAATAGCCATCAGACAGCCAGCGGGAGTGACTCACTCAGCTGAGCAGGTGGTGTTCTGGTTAGAGCTGTGAGACTAGTGAGCTGCTCATGCATCCAGGTCAAGCGACAAAAAGGTTGGCTGTGGCAACACTGTCTGTCTTTACACCCTACAGATCCAGTTTCTTTACACATCTCTGTTAAAGCACCAAGAGGAACAAACGAGGGTAGCTCTGTTGGAACAACAGGTACTCACTGGGGTTGTTTCTAAATTCATTTTAACCCATTAGAAAATGGAAGTTTTCTCATCTTTACACTATTTTGTGAAGGACCATTTGAAAGCCTGTTGTCAGGCTCTGAAGTGAGGCTGGCAATTTTCTTGACAGGTAGATGTTCACCTTGGCAAATTTTATTCTTCTCCAAATGGCTTCTGTAGTTTCTACTGTGGCCTAATGGAATCTCCCTAATAGGGCTACCTTATGACTTCAAGCAGAACTCAAAGAGACACCATTTATTCTTAGAATGTAGACCAAAGGTTTTTAATACATTCCAAACCTGGAGCAGCCATCTCTCCCTTCTCCCCCTTCCACATAAAAAAAGTGGGGGGGCGGGGGGGAGGATACCTATGCTTCAGGTATTGGCTCTGCTCCTTAGGTCAACCAAGTCCTCCACCATAAACTTCTTTTTAAAAAAAATTAATTTCGTTTTATTATTGAATTTATTGGAGTGACATCGGTTAATCATACCATACAGATTTCAAGGATACAACTCAATGAAACATCATTTGCACACTGCATCGTGCGCTCACCACCCAAAGTCAAGTCTTTTACCATCTCCATTTATCCCTCCCCCACACCCTCCTCCACCTCCTCCCACCTCTGTTTCCTTTTGGCTATCACCACACAGTTGTCTGTGTCTATGTGTCATATATATATTTTTCTTCCTTAATCCCTTCACCTTTTTTCATCCAGCCTTCCAACCCTCCTCCCCTCTAAGAGCTGTCAGTCTGTTCTATGTATCCATGCTTCTGTTTCTATTTTGTTTATTAAATTATTTTGTTGATTAGATTCCACATCTCACTGTGCTCAGTTGAATTCTTGCTCTGATAGTATAACAAATGTTTGCTTCTTGTGCTAATTAAAAAGTGCAAGTATCCAGTCAAGAACTATACAGTTTATACCAGTTGTAACTATCTTGTTTTGGGCATTTCTCCAGATTCAGGCATGTACTTTAGACTTCGAAAATGAAAAACTTGACCGTCAAAATGTGCAGCATCAATTGCATGTAATTCTTAAAGAGCTTCGAAAAGCAAGAAGTCAAATAATACAACTGGAATCCTTGGTGAGTCTGGAATGGTTCAACTTAAAATTTATTTTCTTCTTTTTCTTTCTGCCCTCTTTCCATTTACTAGTATATACCAACCAGTTCCCAAACTAGGAGGCTACTGCTTAAAGAACAGCTGTTTCTCAAATCAACAGGCAGAGCCCCTGCCTCATTTAAAGCAAGTGACCTTGGAGCATCAGAGCAGAGCACTAGAAAGAGGGACACTATGTGCCTCTTGGTAATCATTACATTACTGGTGCCTAGGACCATCCCCCACTCACCCTGGGCTGTCACTCTGGAGGCACTAAAAATACCCGGCCTGGGAGAAGGAAAAGAGCAAAGGAGGGGATTTTGTTTTTCTATTTAAAAAGAAAGAAAGAAAGAAATGCTCTTTTCAGGGATCATGGACTATTACTGTTAAAATACTGTTTTAAGTATATTGAATTAAGCACATTTTGTGGATTACCCTGACCACCTAATCTTTTTTTATTGACTTTATTGGGGTAACATTGGTTAGTAAAATGATATAGGTTTCAGGTGTGCAATTCTGTATTGCACCATCTGTATATTGTATTGTGTCTTCACCACCCCAAGTAAGTCTCCTTCAATCACTGTTTATGCCCCCTTTAATCTCTTCAACCTCCCTCAGCCCCCTTTTCCCTCTGGTAATCACCATACTGTTTTGGGAACACACAATCATTTAAAAGAAAAACCTTTAAATGACATTGGTTCTAAGAGGAAATGGTTTTTTACTTACCTATTTTCCTTTTTATAATAGGCTTTTAGACCAGACCTGTTGGTGTCTGTGTTTCTGTGTGTGTCCCATAGCACATATTTTACATATCATCCTAGTACTGCTGAGTATTTCAGATGGAGAAATGTTACAAATAGAATTCCTCACTTTTCAAGAGAAAAACTTCTTTATGAATAAAAGAAAATATATTTTTGGCTCTATCCTTTAGTATGTTGCTTATTTTGAGCATTTATAATATTTGAAATTTATCCTTCATTTCTGTTAATGACTTTCTCAAAATATAGGAAACCAGAGGGTATACAAAAGAATCCATTATTTTCCTGTACTTTCTTTGTATTCCTACTGTCTGTCATGATAAACTGCTGTAAAATCCTCATTTTTAAGCTTTACTTACTATCCTAAGTTCCTCAGAAAACATGGAAAAGGAAAGTCTCAAAGGTATTATACAATTAGTCATTTCTGTGTATAACTTGTTTGATCTGCATTCTGTGCTGCTCCTAATTCCATGTACTTCTTTATTGCTGAAGCGCTCCTCTTACATAAGACTAGCAAATTTTGTCAGCCTTACACACAGGCCTACCTTTACATTCGCTCTAAGCATTTTTTTAAAAAACTGTCCATATAAACACCTAACCCCGGTACTTCCTGGGTAATCTGGGTAATTTCTATGTTAGCACCACAATACTGATGAGCAGAGATTCCAAAGAAAACCTGTCTGCAGGGCTGAAGCAGTTGCATCTGTGGAGCGGCTACAACTTACATACAAATGGTGTTCATTTGACGTTTATTTTTCAGAGGCAGCTTCCTGAACTTGCCTTCACAGAGCCATTAGTCACTTTCCAAGGAGAGACTGAAAACAGAGTAAAAGTTGCCTCACCAAAAAGTCCCACAGCTGCACTGAATGAGAGCCTGGTGGAATGTCCCAAGTGCAATATCCAGTATCCAGTCACCGAACATCGAGATCTGCTCGTCCATGTTGAATACTGTTCACAGTAGCAAGAGTTCTTTATTTTTTATCAAGAGATTCAATACTGTATCTTATGTTAGTGAAGGAACATTTTGAATTCTTTATTTCATCTGCCTGTCTACCCTCGAGACTCTGGCATAAAGTGATTTACTGTATTTTTTGGGCTGCTTTGCATTTTCCTCGGCACTGATACCTACCTGAGATGGTTCATATTAGGCCTTAGTGTATGCCGAGATGGCTAACATTTTGCACTGTTAAAATACTTGATGAAGAAAAGATAGTTCAGGTAATTATTTGTGAATTAAATCTATACACAGGCAAGCAAATATTTTGTGTTTGTGGGTTTTTAAAAATCGAAGGTAATTAACCAAGTATCTTACTGTCTTATTTAGCACTTTTATCTAAGCACTTGATATGTGTAAATATACCTACAATTGAGTCCATTGTTAAAAGATGGTGATACGTTCTCTTTTTTTCCCTTGCTATTATAGAATGGTTATTAGACAGGTTGGGAATGTTCTTGGTCTTTATTGCTGTTTACTGTTGAAACTGTAAACCTACCTATGTTCTAAGCACAAAGCAGATTCTGCTTAAGGAATACTTCTAAGTAGCCACACACACCAATATTTTCTGTCATATTAACTGGGTCTAACTTTATGGTTTTTTTGTTTGTTTTTTCAGTCCGCAGGCCAACGCTCTATCCACTGAGCCAAACCAGTTAGGGCTTTGTTTGTTTTTTAATTATGTTTTATTGATTTTTAGAGAGAGAGAAGGGAGAGAGAGAAACATTGATGGGAGAGAAACATCAATTAACTGCCTCCTGCATGGCCCCCACCAGCGATCGAGCCCGCAACCTGGGCATGCGCCCTGACTGGGAATCGAACTGGTGACCTCTTGGTGCATGGGTCAGTGCTCAACCACTGAGCCATAGTGGCAGGGCAGTTATAACTAAGTTGAATTTCATTAGCACATGTTGGTCAGCTAAAATTGTTAAAACGAATTTTAACAAAACCATCTAGCCCTCACATTTTAATTTGCAGGTATTTTATTTACTTATTTTTGGCACTCAACGCTGGCAATGTGTTTGCTTATCTGAATATATATTTTTATACTTGTTTGTGTAAACCAAAAAATTTTTTATTTGGGTTTTCCAATATGCTTAACACTGGGCCACTGTTAGTAATATAAATGAGAAAAAAATAAAATTATTTAATAAGTTTTTATATGTCTAGCATGTATGTATATAAATATTCTAAGATTTCTACCCTGAGAGGAGTACCAGAGAGATTACAGATTAACATACAGTGTAAAGTAAGGTGAGGATACAATGGAACCAAAACCTACATTAAGCTCAGAAAAGTTAAGCAAAATCCCCACAATCATTTAAAAAAAAAAAAGACATTCTTGGGTCTCAAATTCCAAGTCAACTTCAACATCTATCTTCTTTCCACCAGGCCAGAAGCCTTTATGAATTCTCCAAACGCAGTATATACTTAAGCAATACCATAACTGGAGTCTGAGTTAGAAAAATGACAGAACACACTACCTGGTCTCCATCCCTCTTATCTGAATAGTTCTGCCTTTTCAAATCCCTCCACCTGGTTCCATGGACTCCTGCTATGGGGGTCCTCTGACATCTTAAATTTCTGCTCCAAACATTTATTAAATGCCAACTATGTATAGAAGGCTCTGGGCTAGGTATTAGTGACACAGTGATAATAGAATACAATATACTAGAAGAGACCAAAATCTAAAGAGATAGTATACTACACTATAGGAAGTGCTATAATGAATTTATATGTAGGATAGAGCAGTTTATTTATTTAAACCTTGCCTCATTCTAATATTGATTGAAAGTCTGACTCTTCAAAGATACAACTCTTATACTAAGATAAAATAAAAAAGAAGTACGAAAAAGCAAGAGGAAAACAAGACTAAGAAGTAAAATGAAGCCACTCATAATAGCTCCAAGGCAGGCCATGGAGTGCTTCTGACAGGTGAGCCCTGACCTTGGTGCTGAGCTTTGTAGTTATTAGCACAGAGAAACAATCCTGTACACCATTCACAAGACTTAAAAATACAGCTGGTCTTCAAGAGAAATGCCCCTACTATGATCCTGGTACTGAGACTCCTCTAGTGTGCCTTCATAAAGAAACCATGTAACGTGAAGGTCCAGAGCCTCAACAACAATCTGATAAACAGCAGAGTTCCACTCTGGTTTCTTAATGTTCTTACGCGTAGGTGAAAACATCGTGTATGGAATCATGTCCATAATCCTCAAGTGCAGGCAATTCCATACTTTCCCAATAGGAAGCTCTCTGCTGTTGCCCCAGGGCAACTGTTAGGGATAGGCACTACCTCAAAAGCCTGCCAGCCAGCCAGCCAGCCAGCTGGACTGTGGAGACTGGAAAATGCACGCCTTCACCCAAAGAGGGCGCAGCTGCTCAGCTCCAGCTAATATTCCATGTTGATGAGTCCAATGTGACTAGACTTTCAGATTTTCCAAGAGAAATCTAGACGTTTTAAATGTGAAATCTCCAAACTTCTCTAAATGTTGGGAAAAATTACTACTATGTGAGCCAAACAAACATTTCCAGTTTGTAACCTCTGTTTAAAGCATCTGATTGGGGCAAAAAGAGTGGCTAGTTCCGCTGAGAAAGGCAGGAAGCTGAGGCAGGCTCAGTCCTACCTGCTCTCAGGTCTGAGTTCTTCTCAAATCCAGCCCAATCAAACACACCTGTCTGAGGGACACAGAGTGACTATGACCCTTTCTAACCGTCCTTTCCACCTGCCACCTACTAGTAGTTTTCTTGAATACCCTCCCCAACCGAACTGGCTGGCTGCTAGCATGTCCTTGCTACTCTCTACTCTCCGAACCCAATAGCTGAGCGAGTGTCCAAGTTGGACTGGAACTGGGAGGTCATGCACTCTAGCATTTTTGGTTCAGGAAGTCCACCTCACCTCTAGAGTGCGTTGAAAATGTTGATTCTTTGGCCTCCCCCAGATTTCCTAAACCAGAATGTCTGGGGGACAGGGAGCATGTAATATGCATTCTTTACAAGCTCTCCAGGGCATTCTGGTGTTTTACTGAAGATTGAGACCCATTGACCTAGTCTAACCTTGACTTCCTGATGAAACAGAATCCCAGAGAGGGGGGTGTCTTACTCAAGGTCACACAGTAGATCTGCAGGAGAGTGAGGGAGGCTCAGGCTCCAAAGTCAGTGGTTGTGAGAGCTCCTACACTTTGGCTAGTGTGCCATGATTCTAGCAAAATACTTCATAAGTATCGTGTCATTATATCCACACAGAAACACTATATGGGAGTTTATATAACTGTTCCATTATAGAGATAAGGAAGCTATGGTTTAGAAAGCTAATTCACTTGTCTCAGGTCACATAGCGAAGACAGTGGCAGAGCCAGTACTGGAACTCGAGCGTGTCTGCCTCTAGAGAAAGAGCTGTTAGACTTTATACTTTTCCATCATAAAGCCAGAAAATGTATGTGAAAGCACATTGCAGATGGGAAATGCTGTTCAACCCCCCCCCCCCCCCCCCCCCCCCCCCCCCCCATTTCCAAGAAACCATGATTATAGCGTGGACAGGAATGAAGATAAGACAGTGACATGACCTATTTCCAAGAACCTCTATTCACTTCACTCATCCATACAGGGGTGGGGAGCGTCTGGCCCGTGGGCTGTTTAAGGTTCAAGAAATCATCTGGTCTGGGCCTGCCAAGGCATTAGGGGAGAGTTAATTAAATATTTGACCAAATATAGCAGGCTAATTTTTAAGTTGGTAATTTTGCATGGCGGGTGAATGATATTATAAATATCGAAATGGCCCTTGGCAGAAAAAAGGTTCCCCATCCCTGCTAGAACCACAGTCCTCATCCTCATTTGCAACTAGTGACAGATGCATCCAGATGCAAATAACAGAAAAGACTGGCATCATCAGATCATCAGTTGTTTGTTTTAAAAGTCTGGAATCAGATCATCCTAATTTAGATGAACAGTGTCACAACGTTTAGCTTCTGGGCTGTCATCTCCATAATTCTCTTTGTCCCCTCCTCATGCTCACGAAAAGACTGCCTCAAGTTCCCAACATCCCAAGCTAACGAGACTTTTTTTTCAAAACCAAGAAGCAGACAGCGAGCCAGAATACTGAAGGAGCACTCCTTAATGCCTTTCTCCTTTTATCCAATAAAAGGAAGTTTCCTACAAATGGAAAGATCCATCCAGAAACTTCTCAGTACACTCCCCTTAACCTCTCATTGACCAGAACTGATCACACAGGGCATTCGGATGAGCCGAGCCAGGCCCCAGCAACAAGCACTGAAGTCTCCACGGTTAGCGGTGCAGGGTCATGTCTTGCTCACCTCCTTCATCTTGTGACTGCACCACCCAGAACGCGAGGCCTCCAAGGTCTCCGCTGCGGGAAAGGAGAGGTGAAGACGCGGGCAGGAGCCCCTACCAGCAGCAGACCGCAGGCCGGAAGTGACGCACTCTTCCCCCACTCCTATTGGTCGGAACTTGGTCTCAGGGCCCCACATCCTGCAAGGTGGCTGGGGAGGACCACCTGCCCGGCCTAGGAAACAGTGTGTGGTTACTCATCTCCACCCTGTGCTGCCCCAGGACGTCAGGGAAGGGAACTGGGGAAGTCTGATGGGCGGGAGTCTGCCACTCATCTCACGCCCACCGGCTCCCTCACCAGCTTGGGCTTCCAAGAGTCGGATGCAGCCTTTTTCTCTCCACTTTATAATAATCTTTCACTGACCTGCCACTCTCTCCCCGCAGACACCCCACCCGCAACAGACTGTAAGGTTCTTCAGCTCAGAGATTGTCTCCCCTTCCCACCTCTCATTCTTAAATGGGCCTGGCTTGTAGGAGGTGATCAATACATGTTTGTAGAGCAAGTAAATAAGGGCCTTTTAAAAACAATGATTTCAACCTTTCGACCAAACAAACAAACCTGGCTCTTGCCCTGGGTGACTCAGTTGGTTGGAGCGTCATCCCACGCACCGAAAGATTGTCTTTCTCCCGTCCCCACTTCCTCTATCTTTGAAAATTAATGGAAACATAACCTCGGATGAGGATTTAAAACAACAACAAAACACACCTGGTTCTTATCTTCAGAATTTCCAGTAAAATCATTGAGGAACGAGAAGTATGATTCAACCTTTAAGCAAACATGGGTGCAAAAGAGATTACACAGCAGACTTCAAGAATGTGGCCATAAATCAAGTAAACATTTGATCAGTGACAGCAACATATGTAGAGCATTCATTCAGGAAACTGACTTCTGGAAACCCACTTAGAATACCTTCAGCCTGGCTTTAGGACTTTAACCAAAACTACATCTTCAGGACTAGAAGCATCGAGAGTCCCTTGCATGCCCAGAGAAGGCGTCACAGTGATGGTGGCTGAGGCAGGGGCTCAAAAATATAGGGTAGTTTGATATATAGTCTTTAAGAAGTTTAATTAAGGAAGCCAAATATGTGAAGCACTTTATCAGCAAGGATTATCACCATTATGGTTGAAATATATAGAGGACCATATTACAGATATTATGCTAAGGACTTTACGTGCATTATTTAATTTGATCCTCTCAACAGTGTCGTGAGGCAGGTACTACTATGCCCATTTTACTGATTGGCATGTGTTCATGCACACAGAAAAAGAGACAAGAAAGAAATTATATAAAA